TGACAGCTGAGTGCTTTGGCTAGATTTTTTTGCCTGGGTAGCTTTCGCTTGAGACAGTGTTTTTTTCCAAGAGTTCAGCGTGTATAGCGCGTTCTTTTTTTTGGGGCGGGCTCACCTGGACCCGTGTGTTTTGGATAGTTCATCTATCATGTGGGGTGTGACTGCAAGGATACAGTTCGTGCGGTGAAGCAGACAACAATCCTGACAGCTCCAAACACTGTCTTAGAGCGTAAAAGCAGCAAGCAGATGCAGATATGGATCTGGCCCCGCTGCTCATGCAAGTTGTTGGCCGTCATCAACCATTTTGGCTCGCTGCAGTTGGGCCATTACACATGTGATGTGTCCCACAGAGGCAACCAAGCCGCACTGGCGGTAAAGGTGTAAGGGCCAATGGTGTCGCTGTTGGAAGAAAATGGTGTGGGTGTTTTACAAGAAGTATTTTCTCCGAAAGCACGTGCGATATCTTTCATCCTCATCCTCATCCTCATCCTCATCCTCATCCTCACCATCATCATCGCCACCATCATCGTCATTGTCATTGTCATTATCGTCATCATCATAATCATCAGCGTTCATCGATCATCGATCATGGATCTTCATCATTATCGTCATCATCATCATCATCATCATCATCGTCATCACCATCATCGATGATCATCATTTGTCATCATCATTGCCATTGTCATCGTCGACATTTCCATCGTCATGATAATCATCTCCGGGGGTGAAGATGTGGTGAACACGTTCACATCTACAACAGTACGTAATCCAGGAGGTGTATAGATGCAGGTGTAAAGATGCAGGCGTGTAAATTTTCCGGAAAGCAGCACAGACACCGAGTCTTTCAAACTTTCTCATGCATAGGTTGCAGCACAATGCAGACCGATGTTTACGAAGGGCGCCCTTCTCGCAGGAAACGCGCGTCGATCGTCATATGTAAACTTGCAAGAGCAGGCTAGCTTATGTTCTGCACTTCTGCCTATTGTTTTTTTCAAGATTGTTTCTGGGCGAAAATTCAACCCTTTAACTTTAGATTTATTTCCTGTTTAAGAGTCGGTTTTGTAAAAAACTAATTAGGAAAGTTTTTGTCAGAGATAGCCTGATAAGGAGGAGCGGCCGGGTGCAGAGCAGAAAAACAAGAACCCCACACAATGATGCGGGGAACAAAAATATAAGCAATCAAATCGTACTCAATTCTGTGTGTCATGTCATAGAACAGTCAGTCGCATTGATTTCGGTTGGAATGCCGACAGCGATCCCTTGGAAACTTTCGAATGTCGGAAGATTTAAGTGAAACTGCGCCTGGATTGTGTGTTTTCTATCAGCCGTGTCAACAACACGCAGGACCAGATCGAACATGGAAAAACTACAACGTTTCTTCTCGCAACAATTGGCAGGCAGCGAAAAACCGTGACTTCTGCGGATTGTTGAACCTCTCAAGAAAATTTTCGTTTTTTGGGAGATTATTTGAACGTTTCATTTTGGTAAAATCATCGTCCACTTGTCATGTGACCATGGTTTTTTTGATGCAGGAATTTTGTCAAATTATCATGTTCTTCAAACTGCAAATTGCATTACACGATGTGCCATGAACCAATGTGCCCTTTGGTTTTCAAACGGTTGCCCATTTGTAAGTCAACAACGCATTCATTCCTGTTTACGAACAAACATGCCAAATTGTTCCATGTCACCGGCCTTTTGGCCGGACGGAAACGGGGGCATTGGCAGGTGCAACATTCAGAAACCACCGTTTGACAGTGCCGGGAAACTCACCCTTGATCAAGCTCTCAAACAGTAAGTTCCAAGTTTTTCAACAAGGCATCGCACCATTCCACCTTTTGCACACGGTAGGATTTGATTTTGACATGTACTTTCAGTTGTGGGACATCGATGCAAGATTGCCTGCTTTGCGCATGGTTCACAGTTTCAGTGCCTCATGGTTTGCTTTTGGATTTCGTCAACAAGATTCAGCAAACCATCTTGAACAACATCACATTTTCCATGCTTGAAGACCTTTGCTGAGGCTTCGACCAATCCTTGGCAAATGTCCTGCATGTAGACTTTTGTGAAAGGTAAGACACCACACGTAAGCAACTTGGCCTGGGACTGAGACGTTTTTCTGTTGAGAACCATGCTACCTGATAGATCAGACGGAGGTTTCTAAAAGATCCTTGGGAAATTCATGGCAAATTTTGGCAAGTGGGTCGGATGCATTCACTGTGCAAAGGCAGGTAAGTTCAATAGTTTCCAAGAGCGTTGCAGGGTCTTGTGGCCAGCTTTGAGCAAGGGTTGGACAACAGGTATGGAACTAGACGCACAGTGTTGGACTTCTGAACGCTCTTTATTTTGAATACACAGCCTGCCACCATGACGAAACCACACACTTGATAGTTATTGATGCTATTCATATCTATTCATGCTACTATGCTATTGGATGGTACCAACAAATCCGTTTCCAAACGCATGCATTTTTTCGGAGGAACAGATTTGTTGGTTGTGGTGCTCGTCGTGGCGCAAAGTTGTCGGATTTTGGGCTCTGGTCGGAGGTATCGAGTCGCCGCTTCTCCCAGTGCTATGTTTGCTCACCTGGTCAATTCCTATACCATCTGGTTATTTAACATAGCCATGGAAAATCCCTTATAAATGGGTGTTAATAGGTAAACCAGCTATAAATGGGCCATTTTCCATGGCTATGTCAAATAACCAGAGGGTAGGTGCTGTTTGACGAAGCAAATTGATCTTTCTCAGCTGCCAATAGTTCCCACATGAACACTTTGCTAAGGCATTCTAGCACATGCTAGCGCTTTGATAGTTCTTTGTCAAGGCTCTGCATTGGTTTTCATACGGGTTTGCGTGGGACATGTTTTGTTTGTGTAACACAGGTCCAAAGACATCAAATTAACGCCAAAATAAATTTCTGTATCGAAAGCCCTGAGACCTTGGAAGGATTCAAACCGTGCAGATTCAAGGAGTCCATTTGGATCCATTTGGACCACAGTGGGGCCCCACAATGGTTATAAGCAGCACAATCGTTTCTCGTGTTTTCCAGTGTTAAGTGTTTTCCGGCCGTTTGCTTCAAGATGTGTGATTTTCTTCTGTCAAGCTCGGCTCGCTTGGTGGTATCCAAAACACTTGAAACACATGTTGGCCGCCAAAGTCATCACATAGTCCTGGGATAACCGTCAGATTGCCTTGATACATGTGGTTTAGTTATGGGCAGGTGCTTCAAGTTGCTTATGGTGCTTATGTGTATGCTCCTTCATTTGCGGGGTGTTGCAAAACCACAGCGGCTCAGCAACAGAGCAAACTGCCCTTTGTCAGGCGAATTGTCGAAGCTTGACATGGTTTGCAGAGGTACAGAGATTGGCTTTGAGCCAAACAAAACTGCTGAAATATTTGGGTAAGTGGGTAAGTTGGTGGGGGTTCAACTGCTTGGTTATCGTCCATTGCATGATACCATGTTCAACCCAAACATGCGAAATGGCAAAACGATCTATGGTTTCTTCCAGTGAAACTATGTGAAACTTGTCAAGGGCTCTAGGACTCCTTGTAAACAAGTTGTTTGCAGTCTTATCATGTCTTATCTACGAAGACGGAACATTTCGTCACACTCTCGCACTTTGCTGGTATCGCCATTCATTCCTGTGCAACTCATTGCACTCAACAGGCGGAGCAATCTTCGCTCGAGATTTCTCCGCGCTAACGAGAGGACTCCAGGCCAGACATGTCGATCATGTCAATGGCCTTACTTTCCAAGGTCATTGTGCCTTTGATTTTTGAACATCTTTGAACATTAGGCAGTACTCAGAACCAAATCAAACCCTTTCTTTTCCAAGAGCCAGCAATTGGCGTGTGAGACATCCCAAGCAGCCATTGGTCTCCATTCAATGATTCAAGCGTTTGTTTGTTCAATCAAAGTTTCGTTTGATGTGGAAGTACCTGTGCGTTGGCTCTGGATCAACCTCCGCAACAAAATTGCAAGAATCAGAAGTGCCCGCATCAACTCCACCCCTGGCTCTCTGCACGATTGTCACTTAAGATGTCACATTTTTGAGTCGGGCTCGAAGAGAAAGACAACATAGTATAGGAGATAGTCTGAGAATGTCTGAGATAGAGCACTAGGCATGTCACGGTACAGACTAATCCAGTCTCTTTCGATACCAGGCCGGACGGAGATGCCAATGAGGATCCTGAAATCAGAGGAAGTGTGGGAGATGGCATGCGTCCCAAATGTCAGCGTGCTGAGAAACTTTATCACTGACTTTCAAAAGAAAGATACTGTTAGATTTGTTAGATATGGTTTGGACGTGCTTGGACACTGCGGAAATGCCTTCTGCAGTTGGTCCATGTCGTTCCCACTTCAGGACTTGACCCGATGGTGCCAGGCTTGGTCAGTTTATTTTACTAAGCAGCATGAGCCATGGGTCATCATGGGTCATCATCGGTCGGGCCACATTTGAGTGACCAGCAGCAACTTGGCAAGGCCGCTTTGCCTTGGGGAATTCTGTGAATGTTCACATCGGATCTGGAAAGCGACGTTGGTTTGATACAGAAACTTATCGCCAGAATCTGCGTATGTCAACCTTGTGCATGAAATGCGGATGGTGTTGGCATGGAATCTGGAATCTTGTGGGTTTTGGACATTTTGGACATTTATCCATGTGTTTCCTTTGCCGCAATGTGCCGGAGGCCTACATCGCTGGTGCAGCGGCATTCAAAGCACACCTCGCAGCGCAGAAAAACATTCATTCGCCAAGCATGTTGGAAAACTGTTGGAAAGCTAGGGATTCTGCCCTTCCTTTCTGGCCAGCCAGTTTCTGAGCACATGAGGTTTGTTACCAGGTCATGGATGTGAGGTGTTACAAAGCGCGAGACTTTGAGATTGAGATATGTGGAGACACTGCTGCAGGGCTGCATGGATAGAACTTTGATCGTTGCACTGTCACACATAAAGGGAGATGGATACCATTTGACTGTGGAAGCAAAAAACTTTTCCATGAAAGCTGCCATTGAAGCTCAAGCCGTTTTAAGGCTTGTGTCAAGGGTTTTTGGCAGGACTCACAGGTAGCTGTGTATCTTTCCAGCAATTGAAGCAACGGAGGATTGTCGAATATGATACGCCTCCTTGTGGTGCCCTCGAAGTTTCTCCTCTTGCTAGGAATCTTCGAATGTGGCCACACCTACAAATTCTCAGAGCATCGTCAGGAGCGTCAGCCCAACAACAGCTACGGAGCTGTGAACGTCACGCAGGCCATGAAGGTGCCTCTCTACAAAGAGTTGTCTGCTGCATTGCCCCTGGTGATTCGAAACCTCACGAACTACAGTGGCCTCATCAATGACAAGGGAGCTCCACCCAATCCGAATATCACTTACCATTTCGGCGAACTGGAGAATGATTTGGCTATGTTATCAGACAAGGTCAGTGGCTTCTATGCCGTCTTACATGAGATGTTGCCGGATGGCAGTGGACCATTTCTGTGCCCTTTGAACAAGCAGAGTCATATCAAGGAGTGCCTTTTGATGGCCACATGCCTCTTGGAATATCACGTGCCCGAAGAAATCGAACTCGCTGCATTCACCACCTACATGGAGATGACGCAGCGTTTCATAGATGTTGGTTGGACTGTATTGAAGAGTGGTTTGCTGATGGAAGAGCCCTCTCCGATCTTGAACATGGATGCTGTACCTCCCAAGAAGTACCAGTGCGATCTGCTGAAGCATGAGAAGGTGACCCCATCCACTGCTCATTCCATGCTTCAAGTGGAGTCATCAGAGTCGGAGTTTGAGTCGGATGGGGCGACTCTTGCGATGTCCTCAGCGCTAATCCAAGCCTCCCAGGCCAGTTTCCAGATCTTAGATTCACATCAAGTTGGCAGCTCAGTTGATGCCACCATCTTGAAACTACACGAGCTTTGGATGCCAATTTGCAAACATTTGAATTGCAACCATAGCAGCTTTTGGGACTTGCACTATGCCTCATATCGGCAAACGGCCTCTTTGCTCGAGCTGAAGTCGGGCTATGCAGCGCGACGTGCCATGCGCCGCGAGGTCCAACATCGTGTGAAGTTGGAGAAGAGGTTCGGTGAGTTTGTCTCAGAAAACCATGAATATTACTCCAGGCTTTACAATGGAACGCACTTCCCTCCTGGCCGGCGATTTGTTGATTCGAACTTCATCCAGGCTTCCTCAAGAGGAGAATCCATGATCGGCCACATGAGGGATTTCGCAAATGAAATCAGCACTGAGGAGAGCAGGGCCATCAGGTTGTTCGACCACGTGGAGTATCGCAAGTTCCAGAAGGACAGGCACGGACGCCGTCCAGTCTCCCTATTGCAGGATGAGAACGAAGAGAACGAAGAGAATGAGGAGAATGAAGAGCAAGAAGACAGCGAGGAAGATGAAGACGAAGATGAAGATGAAGACAAGGAAGTGGCTATAGACGATGCAGAAGATGTGGGCTCCAAGGATATGGAAGGTGTCCCAGCACTGGTGGAGGAAGACAATGTCTTGGAAGATGGAACTGAAGATGACAAAGGCAGCAGGAGGCGCAGGAGGAGACGATCAAGGAGGCGAGCCCGCAGGAGATGGATCGGTGGAAGGAGACGTCGCAGACGCCGCAGAAGAATTTTCGACGTGATCGCAACTCAGCTGGAAAAACTGTTGGCAGCTGTTGGCGCTGTGGGATTCGGGGAGGGTGTCGTGGGAATTAAAAAGGAATATTAATTTAAGATAAAAGGATATAACATTATATAAAAGGATACAAAAGGATATTTGACAGATAATTATGTATAATTAAAGGTATAAGAAGGTGAAACATGGTGAAATTATAGGACCATGGTGAACCTTCTATTTTCCTTGCAGGCAAATGTGGTCGAGGACGTCGCGGCGTTCATGGAAAGTATCACGGGGTGCTTGGGCTATGCCATCGAGTTTGCGAGCACAGGCTACGATTATGAGGTTGTTCCAGGTGCCGTGTCGATCTCTCTTGGGCTCTCCGCTGGAGCAAGGCAAGCACTCGAAGATCTCATCTCCAAACGGTCTCCGACATTGGCAATTTCGATGGACTTCGGTTTTGCCGTGGGCGTGACCAAGAAACTCCTCTGGTCGGGAACCGGCTTGGGAGGATCCGTGACCTGTGAGGTTGGAGCAAGCTGCGAGGCCTATATCACAGTGGCTGTCATCGGCAGTGTCAATATCCCCACTCAATCTGCCGCTTGCCCCATGGGCCCAACCTGGGGCGCAGCCACTTGCGCCCAGTGCTTCGGGGGCGGGATCTCTTCCATGTGCTGCAACATGGGCTTCAAGGGGGGTTCCAACGATTGCCGCTGATGCAGAGACAACATGCTGAGACCAGGTGGGAAAGGGCCGGAGAGGGCAAGGACAAGCTTTGCTTGCCATCCGACAACCACCCTATGATTTTCAAATCTTTCAGTGCCAAGTTATTGAGGCTGCAACTGTCAGTGCTTGCTGTGTGAAAGTTGGGGTTAGGAACATGGGAACAGTTGTGCTGTTAGACTGTAGCCACACAAACGGTGCATATGAACCCAGTACATAGAGTTGGATAAGTACATCAGAGTGCTCTGCCTGAATATTTTCCATGTGGACGGAAGAATCAACGAAGAATGTTTGGGTTGATTATGTTGCTGTCACTATATGTATGTTCCCCTTATTTTCCCGTTATGTTTCTGTCCCAAAGATGTTTTGTTGATGAAACTCGCTGTGGTTAGCCTGGAAGTTGGCCCAGGCGGCGCAGCAGCCTTGAAGCGGACGTAGACTGTGGAGCTGCACTGGCGCCTGAAAAAGCAGAGCAGAGCTGCCCAGCAGTTCTACACAATTTCTACATGTTTCATCATGGTGTTCTGCAACGAGTGGTTGTTCATGGCATGCGGCTGATACGCCGCCCTTGGAAGGGTTGTTAATTTTGAGATGTGTCATTTACGATCCCTTGGAAGGGTCGCAAATTTGAAAAATGAAGGCTGCCAAAATGGGGGTACAGGATTTGATTTTCGCCTTTGTTAACATGTTGCACATGCCGTCGTATATTCATCAGGGGGCAGTTGGGGGGGTGTATTATAACGTTCCTGACGAGTAACTTCACTTGCGTTAGGGAACACGTTGCCGTTGTCAAATGTTGTCAACATGTTGCACATGCCGTCGTATATTCATCAGGGGGGTGGGGGGGTATATTAACGTTCCTGACAAGTACTTCACTTACGTTAGGGAACACGTTGCCGTTGTTAACATGTTGCACATGCTGTCGTATATATATATACATATTATCATATATATATATATTATATCATCAGGGGGGTAGGGGGATGTATTAGCGTTGTTGGAGTCTGTGGCCACTGCGTTGCCAAAAGCACTCGGGCACTGAAGCTTCGAGAAGAGGAAAAAATGGATGGGTGGATGTTTGCCTGGGATGATTGAAAATCATGAATGTTTTTTAAAAACCCTTGAAGAGCAAAATCGATTCACTGCGCAGGCCAAACGCAAATTTTGACACTTGAGCCACACGCCTGCCAATCGAAATGAATGTCCATATTGCAAACATTTTTTGACAAGTCCCACAGATACCAGCATTTTGTCTCTTGGCCTAAAAAATCACAATTTTAAATTCATCACCCTTACAAGGGCGGCGAGTCAACCGGTTGCCTTGTTCATGTGTGCGTAGTTCTATGCGCGTGTTGAATCTTTGGTTGCAGATCGCTGTGCAATGGCTGCGTCAAGTTTGCTTGGTGCTGCGGCTGCATGCGTAATACTATTGTCTTTGTCAGCTGGACGTCGCCAATCGTATTGGAGTGGCTGCATCTTTGCGATAGTGATTTTTCAGCAGAATTTCTCAATTTTGGCGCTGGTGATTTGCCTTTTCAATTCATTTTCTTCGTGATTGAAAATCGTGTTTTTTTTTGCTTGGGCTCCGCGATCCATCCGGTTTTGGAGCTGCAATTTCTGATGCGGTTGCGCATGGTTCTATTGTGTTTTGCAATGCGGTATCTGGAGATCGCATTGTAATCGCTGTGCCAAGGTTGCTTGGCGCCGCGGCTGCATGCGCAATACGACGTCGTTAATCGTATTGGAGTGGCTGCATCAAGGCCGCGGCAGTGATTTCTCAGCAGATTTTCTCAATTTTGGCGCTTGTGATTTTCGTTTTAAAGTTCCTTTTAGAAAGTGCTTCAAACTCGTGTTTTGTTTGCTTTCGCGCCGAGGTCCGGTTTTGGAGTACTTTGTGCAAGCTTTGCAGTACAAAGTAGTACCGGGCGGTACTTTGTGCAAGCTTTGTAGTACAAAGTAGTACTGGGTAGTACTTTGTGCAAGCTTTATAGTGCAAAGTAGTACTGGGAAGTGCTTTGTGCAAGCTTTGTAGTACAAAGTAGTACTGGGAAGTACTTTACAAGCTTTGTAGTACAAGTAGTACTGGGAAGAACTTTGTGCAAGCTTTGCAGTACAAAGTAGTACCGGGAAGTACTTTGCGCAAGCTTTGTAGTACAAAGTAGTACTGGGTAGTACTTTGTGCAAGCTTTATAGTGCAAAGTAGTACTGGGAAGTGCTTTGTGCAAGCTTTGTAGTACAAAGTAGTACTGGGAAGTACTTTACAAGCTTTGTAGTACAAAATAGTACTAGGAAGTGCTTTATGCAATCTTTAAAGAACAAAGTACTTTGTAAATGCTTTTCTGTGTAAATACATCTGTGTCTCAAGCTTCTGTGTGGAGAAGGTTTCTGCGTGCAATGTTTTTGTGTGCAAGAGACTTTTGTCTGACAGTAAGAGCTTTCTGGCGTGCAGAAGAGCTGAGATGAGTTGAGAAGAACTGCGAGGAGATGAGAGAGGTTGATCAGTGCTCGGATGAGATGAAAACAGTTGAGAAGAACTTACTTAGATGACATGTGAGAAGTGAAAAGGGATGAGAAGAGCTGAGATGAGATGAGAAGAGCTCACATGATTTGAGATGAGATGAAGTGTGGAGTGTGAAGTGCAAGTGTGAAGTGCGGGGTGTGAAGAGTGCAGTGTGAAGTGTGAAGAAAGTCTTCGCTTGGCGTTGCATTGCACCGGGGTCGCGCGCAGGTCATGTTCTTGGACAACAACACCGCAACAGCTTCGCACAAAGCACGCACGCACGGGCCCGGCTGGCGCACGGCGCATGCAAGTTCTATAGATGAGAAAGGTCTTATAGTGTAGCCCTAAGGCAACTTCCGCCCCGCCTCGTCGGGTACTACTGGTATTCAAATACTGAAAGCTATTGAACAACACATTGGATACATTGGGTTGCTTCCGGTAGCCCGGCGGCCTGGCAGCTGGGCTGGCAAGTTGGCAGGATTTGCCCGGCAGACTCTTAAGACTCTCTGAGATGGCCAAGACCAGACATGGACAGAGTACAAAAATTAACGTCTCCACGCGTCATTCAGATATTCAGCAAGACTAGCAACACATATGGGGTGAGGATTGCCAAAGCAAATATGTGAAAGCTAGACTTCACATAAACGTTGCATGCTGCACATGGGCATCTCACCAAATCGTGGAGAGTGGTTCGACTGCAGATTTGTGAGTGCAATAGCATCGAGAAACATCATGACCGCTGAGCATGCTCAATCAAGTTGGTAGCAGTCATTGCATTTATGGAATTTTCGTAGTGGTATGGATGTGGATAGGATCTGACAGATAAATGCCCAGGATTGCACAGGTGACATGGAGAGTCTGATATTTTTCGCATTGGCGACGCAACAGCATTCCTTCTCATGAATTTTTAGATGTGTGTCTGTGTGTGGTGCATGCGTGCCGCGGGAAACGAATCAGGATGATAGATGTAGAAAGCAGATATTTGATAATATGTAAAATTATATAAATATAAAATATATATTTTAAAACACACACACACATATATATATATATATATATATATATAAATGAGCTCACATGCATGTATAGGGAATGCTCGAGGAAATCTGCCCGCACCGAAGGCGCCAAAGCCTGGTCGTTTAGCAGCGAGGGATACGAACAGATCCCCCGAACGGGACTGTGGCAATTTGCGCATTTTGCAGATCGGCCCAACATCCTCCAGATGCACCGTTTCGACCCCACATGTCCGCAACATCGGCTCAACTTGGGGCCACCATTAGCCAACAAGGCCCCAACTTGGGCCCAACCCGGACCCACTTGACTCCAACTTGGCCCCAACTTGGGTCCAACATGCCGCAACTTGGCCCCAAATTGAATCCGTTTGGGAGCAACTTCGGCTTAAGTTGAGGTCCGCATGGCTTCAAAATGGGGACATGGCCCGTGAATAGGAAAGCTTCAAAACGCCCGTTTTCATTGGTATTTCCCACGTTTTGGCATCGATGACACGTATGTTGAGCAATGTTCCCCATGTTGTGTCTCCATTGGACCGCACTTCGAGCAAAGCTGACACCAAAGGGCCCCAAGCCCGGACCAACTATATGAATTCGTAGTCGTTCAGAGATTCAAGCCGTTTTTTCTACAAAATTCGCTTTGTGGATGCAAATCAAAACAAACATGTCCCGCAGGCTTGTTTAGACTGCAGGCGTTGTGGTGGAGTAGGTGATAAGGTCTTCATGTGTCTTCAATGTTTTTAATTCCGGTTGAATGTGAGATGATTCTTCACGGCAAGCCATTGAGCGTTCCACTTTCCGTGACCAGGAGGAGCTGCAGATGCAACTGGCTTTGCATCAACCAATGCTCGAGGCCTCGCTGCCGCCAGGTCAACGCCCCCATCATGCGAGAAATCTTGTTGAGCCCGTTGTTCGATGTATTTTGATGTTCTTCATTGATTTCTTGTGACCATGTTTGACCCATATTACCGTCAACCTCCTAAAAACTTTGGAATGATGACTAGTCGAAGTCAGTGGACCCTAGGCCTTCGAAAGCTGTGGCAGAGGGTTTTGAGATAAGGCTTTCGAAAGTAGCTGCTGCGGGGGTTTTGAGGCTTTTAAGGGGTGCCCAAAAGCAGTTTCGAAGCCCAATAGAAACAGCTTGTGGGGCCTAGGGAGGTACCATGGCAAAGCAGGCGGGACGCCTTCGAAAGCTGCGGCGGAGGGTTTTGAGTTTCTAAGGCCTTCGAAAGCTGCTGCGGGAGTTTTGAGGGTTTTAAGGGGTGCCCAAAACGTGCCACGTAGCAGTTTCGAAGCCCAATAGAAACAGGTTTCGAAGCCCAATAGAAGCTTGTGGGGCCTAGGGAGGTACCATGGCAAAGCAGGCGGGACGCCTTCGAAAGCTGCTGCGGAGGGTTTTGAGGTTCTAAGGCCTTCGAAAGCTGCTGCGGGGGTTTTGGGGCTTTTAAGGGGTGCCCAAAACGTGCCACGTAGCAGTTTCGAAGCCCAATAGAAACAGCTTGTGGGGCCTAGGGAGGTACCATGGCAATAGCAGGCGGGACGCCCTCGAAAACTGCGGCGGAGCATTTTGAGGCTCTAAGGCCTTCGAAAGCTGCTGCGGGGGTTTTGAGGCTTTTAAGGGGTGCCCAAAACCTGCCACGTAGCAGTTTCGAAGCCCAATAGAAACAGCTTGTGGGGCCTAGGGAGGTACCATGGCAAAGCAGGCGGGATGCCTTCTTGCTTTTGCTTAGCGGAATTTTAGATTTTTTTGACTATTTTTTGTGTAAAAATGTTTGCTTTTTTTGTTTGTAAATTTCTAATTTTCTTTTCTCGTTTGCTCTCAGCAAAGTTATTTTCTGCATCAAAACCAGGGACCCCGTAAACCCGCCATTGCGTTTTACTTTGCTGGATAACTTGGAAACGGCTGTCAATCTGTGCTTTCCAGTCGGTAAATGACCATTTTGAGCCATTGAGCTGTTAATGTTTGGAAGCGTTAGGTTCAACCCAGCAGCTATGTCAATGTCACCAATGTAATTTGTGTTTTTCTCGTGGGTCTCCTTTCTGAAACACGTTTCAAGGCAGAAAAGTTATTAGGGATAGCACATGCGCTATTTTCTTTTCTCGTGGCGTTGGGCTCTGAACTGCTGCAGTTCCTGTCCTTGTCCGCGGATGGCTTTTGGCTGTTCCGGCCAAAGCCACATTCAGCGCCATGCAGTCTTTGGCTGATCCGGCCAAGGCTGCATGCGCTGGGTCTGGCGATGGCAAGTCCAAATGGATGCGGCTGTCAAGCAAATGGACAGCTGAATTTCTTTTGGATCCTGCATGCCCAGAGGCTGGGTCATGGTTACAGGCAGCCATGGGGGATTGGCTGCAAAGCTTGAGGATGAACGTGAAAGTTTTCTCGCCCTTGTTTCCAAAACTCGCACTAAGTTACTGAAAGCTTCTCCGCTGCATGAAGTGCCAGACAGAGTGGACAATTGCAGAAATGCGTTCTTTTGGATGCGGCAGCACTTGCATGGCACCGGCGTTGCCAAATGTTTGCGGGACCTGGAGATAGCCTTGGACATTTTGACGGCAATCAACTTGACAGACTTAGATGCAGCCCCAGACCGTCGCATTGTCACAGGGTTGCCGCTGCGAATGCAAGGCGTTAAATGCGGTCTCACCAACAATACCAAGCAAGAGTTTCTTCATGCTGAAGAGCTCATGGCACTTTTCGTGCAAGTGAGCCAAGCAGGGGTTCACTTGGACATGGGCACCTGGTTTGATTTTTTTTTCGTGGCAGTGCACGAAGGCCGTGTGGATGTTAATCTTCGCACTGGGGAATTTCATGTGGACTTTGGCAAGTCGAACATCAGCTGCTCCGGCTGAGTTCGGATCGCCAATCCTGGCAGAAGCGTGACAGGCTGCTCCGGCCTGCGCGCTTGGAAGTCTTAGTTTTACTTAGGCAGCAATGACGAACGCAACAGGCTGATCCGGCCTGGGCGCTTGGGAGCCTCATTTTTGTATGGTAGCAAATGTTTGCACAGCGGCGGCCTTGCAGAAGCCAGTTGCTCGTCGAGCTCGAAATCCATGACAGCAAAATGACGAAAGACTCTTAGGAGCCTCTCCGCTGCCCCTGACAAGCTCCTAAGGAGAGGGCGATTTGACCTCTCCTTAGGAGCATCGCCGTCGTTGGCGATGCTCCTAAGGAGAGGATGCGGAGAGGACGAAACTGAAATTCCGTTAAGCGATCATGCAAAACATACCATTGTCCTGTCCGTGTCCTCTCCTTAGGAGCATCGCCGTCGTTATAGCGATGCTCCTAAGGAGAGGACGATTTGACCTCTCCTTAGGAGCTTCCAAATACTCGTTCGTCGTCGCTTTTGGCTCCAGTTGTTTTATAGTGGTATTTCTGACCCGGCCGTTCCCTGCCTCGGACACGAGAGCCATTGGCTGCTCCGGCCAAGGCTCTCTCCAAAAACTTCTTGCCCAGGCTTTCGGACGAATGGACATTGAAATGGTCTCAGAAAAAGGACCTCTATGGTAAGAAGCACCTCATCTCTGTGGGAGGCAAAATAGAAGGATGGACGAATATAGACGACGAGCCCAAGGTCAATGACCGTGCGAAGGACGCGCCAGAGCCAGTGTGCTTCTTCAGCCCTCCCATTGAGCTGATGGAAGAGCTGTTGCACACATTCTTTGGGAAGATGGATGTGGATCTGAGGGCAGCAGATGGAAAACTAGCTTTTGCTTGTTTGCAGAACAGAGTGGCCTACCTTGATGTCACCTACAACGAGGTCCACAGCAAGCTGTTGGAGGGACTTGACCTGATGCAAACCAGCATGGCAGACCCGTCGAGCCCTTTGTTCAACAACAACTATGCGCAAGCCATCGGCGTCGTGACCCACACTCCGACTCCGAAGCCGAAGCCAGGCCCAAAAGCAAAGACAGAAACCAAAAAAAGGAAAGCAAATGCGTCTGGGAAGGCGAAGCCCAAGCCGAAAGCCAAGGCGACTGAGGAGCCTCCGCCTAAAAAAATACAAACAAACCAGGATGGCAATGGCGATGACAACGATGAAGGAGACGAAGGGGAGGATGACGTTTGGGACCCGCTGGTTGCCACCTAGCTTGTACGACTTGTGTGTGTGACAGGAACTAGCTGCTCCGGCTAGTCCTGTTCATGCACTGGCAAAGCAAGTCAAAAATTTTGAAATTTCGATAGCTCAGCAAGCAGACGGCAGGTCTGGCTGCTCCGGCCGGCCTGCCACATGCAATGCGCTGGCATTGTTGGGACGTTAGGGATCAGATTTAGCTGCTCTGCCTAAAATGAAACGCGTGCAGCCTCAATGGTTCCAATGCTCCAAGATTCAGAAACTTATTTCCTTTCCTCGTTCCCCGAAGGAACATTTCTCGTTGAAACCATGCAAAGTTATTTTGTTTTTTTTCCGTACATGGATTTACCGGTTGCATCCCACCTTGCAAGTTTCGTCTGAAGCTTCTTTGTTTATCAGGTCAGCAAACGAAGTCTAATGGGATTGAAACGTCATTTCTTATAGGAGATATATGATGGTTCGGCATGCGTCTGCACAGTGGTGGGAAACAGGTTTCTATTATATACATGGTTTTCTCGTTTACTTCTTTCAAAGTTATTTTTGATTCTCGTGTTTAGCTGCCCCTGCCACTCCCCTGACTTTGAAGAAAAACAAGGCCCAAAAAAAAACTAAAATTCCGCTAAGCAAAAGTAAGCCTTCGAAAGCTGCGGCGGAGGGTTTTGAGGTTCTAAGGCCTTCGAAAGCTGCTGCGGGAGTTTTGAGGGTTTTAAGGGGTGCCCAAAACGTGCCACGTAGCAGTTTCGAAGCCCAATAGAAACAGGTTTCGAAGCCCAATAGAAGCTTGTGGGGCCTAGGGAGGTACCATGGCAAAGCAGGCGGGACGCCTTCGAAAGCTGCGGCGGAGCGTTTTGAGGTTCTATAAGGCCTTCGAAAGCTGCTGCGGGGGTTTTGAGGCTTTTAAGGGGTGCCCAAAACGTGCCACGTAGCAGTTTCGAAGCCCAATAGAAACAGGTTTCGAAGCCCAATAGAAGCTTGTGGGGCCTAGGGAGGTACCATGGCAAAGCAGGCGGGACGCCTTCGAAAGCTGCGGCGGAGCGTTTTGAGGTTCTATAAGGCCTTCGAAAGCTGCTGCGGGGGTTTTGAGGCTTTTAAGGGGTGCCCAAAACGTGCCACGTAGCAGTTTCGAAGCCCAATAGAAACAGGTTTCGAAGCCCAATAGAAGCTTGTGGGGCCTAGGGAGGTACCATGGCAAAGCAGGCGGGACGCCTTCGAAAGCTGCGGCGGAGCGTTTTGAGGTTCTATAAGGCCTTCGAAAGCTGCTGCGGGAGTTTTGAGGGTTTTAAGGGGTGCCCAAAACGTGCCACATAGCAGTTTCGAAGCCCAATAGAAACAGCTTGTGGGGCCTAGGGAGGTGCTATGGCAAAGCAGGCGGGACGCCTTCCAAAGCTGCGGCGGAGGGTTTTGAGTTTCTAAGGCCTTCGAAAGCTGCTGCGGGAGTTTTGAGGGTTTTAAGGGGTGCCCAAAACGTGCCACGTAGCAGTTTCGAAGCCCAATAGAAACAGGTTTCGAAGCCCAATAGAAGCTTGTGGGGCCTAGGGAGGTACCATGGCAAAGCAAGCACGGAGTGGTGCCGTATAGAGGAGCTTGGAAAGGTCCCGAGCCTCCGAAGCCAAAGCAGGCACAGGGCCATGCCGCACACCTACGGTGATCCCGGGCGCCGCCCCGCCTAGGCCAAGGCTAGGCAGGGGTCAGCGGATTTTACTAACGTTACTAAAAAATTACGTAAAATAGCGTTAGTAAAACAGTAGATTTTACGTAAAGTTCACGGCGAGTAAAATTACTAGGCTTTGGAGACTTCGGGCAAGCCGAGCAAGCCATTGACCTTCTGGTTGTCGTATTGCTCTCGATCCGCTTGCAAATTTTCATTCAAATCGAAGCGGCAGCTTCGATGGTGCCAGAATTGGACGGAAAGCATTTAGGCGTGGTGCCAGCTGATCGAGGTTGAGATGGTGAAATGGGAGTTGGTGGAGAAGGTGAGTAGGGTTGTGTCGGAGGACACATGGAAGCTTGAGAGGTTGGAATTGTGGTTGGTGGAGGCGTGTGTGGTGGAGTTGGTGGAAATGGTTAGGGCACGGCCCAAGTTGGCGGAAAGGACGGTGGCGTTGGCGTCAAAACACGTCCCATCCCATAAGGTCCCGGCTGGCACGGTGGCCGTTTTGGTACGTTCTGAAGTCGTGGCATGGTTTGTAAGGACCGGATAGGTGAGTCCATAGGACCACACCATCTGGGAAAGCACGGAAGAGCTTGACGTTGCCCAGGTTGGTCGGTTGGTCTTGTCGATTGCGAGAAGGTGCAGACGAGCGAGAACGATCGGCTTCTGCCATGGTGTTGACCCTATTTTCACACCAAATGGCTCAGGTGAGAAAACTGTGACAGACAAGGTGGCATGACATGGACCGATAATTTATTTGAGTGCAGTGTTCCTTTTAAGCATGTCTACCAGAATGAGCAGTATCTAGGACTATAAAATCATTTCAAAGATAGACAGCAAGTGTTCAAAGCCACCAAGCTGACTTTAAGTGAAGAATTCGAAGCCTGTCATCAATCCAGCTTGAAAGCGCATCACAACAAAATTACAGATTGAGGCAACAGTGCAGCATCAACTTGTACAAAATTGGTTGTCCAGAAAATCAGACACAGGTTTCCGGTGCTGGACAATGGCCTGACTGCTAACTTATGTGATGTCAGGCAGGACAGGCTCACAGGCTCTTGATCATACGTGCCGACAGGTACCCCTGGAAGTTGGTCCCAGGTCACCGCAAAGAAGCAAACGCCTGTGTTACGACTGTGCGTCAAAGTGTGCTTCTCTGACGTGGTGACGACTCCCACCGAAGGGATCTTCAACTGAGCCAAGTCGATACCTCCTGCATTCAAGCTCAGGTGGGCATGTTTGCTTCGATAAAGGGCTCCAATGAGCACTGGAAGCTGTCCTTTCCCCTTCTTTGAGGCCCTGTCCATAGATCCAGAGCAGCGTATAAGGGGAGTGAAGTGTCAGATCTGGCAACCTCTGTCCCCAAAGCATAGGCTCTGAACTTTGGAAATTGGCTATGTTTGAGATCCTGATTGTACGTCCAATCTGCAGGACGGATGAATCCTTCCAACAAGATGCACTGGCTGTGAATGAAGTTCCATGGATCAAAGCCCGGGTGTGGCTTGTTCTACCACCGAAAGGCCCTGGAAGTGCAAACTTCTTTAACTCTGGAACTGCGATGATCAGAGCCCCTTTCCGAGTAGTGGGCAGGTGGACAACCTGGGCAAGGATGAGATCGACAGAGTCAAGAAGGCCTGCCCCCGCCAAGATGTGGGTAGCCAGTTTGATCTTGTGTGATTGGGATGGGATGTCCGGATCCAAGTTGGTCACAGCTAGGGATGCTTCGTTGAGTAAGGCCTGACTGGCCGTCGTCAACGGTTTTGGACGTTTCTCTTCAGGAAGTTCACAGGTCGCCTTAACCCTTGATTTGTAGTATAGGGCAAAGTTGACTTGGTTCACCCCATTCTTCATGGGTGATATCCGCATACGAGAGGTAGACTTCTCCTTATTTCAAGGAAATGCCCGGTTTGGATTTGGGAGGTTGTTTGGTCTTGGACTTGTCAGACCAATGAGTGTGGGCTGGCCTAGAAGCACAAGACTGCTTCTGTTTGCCGCGAGGATCGCGAGAAGGTTGGTGAGGGTGGTATGAGGATGGATCGTTGGAATAGGCTGCAAGGGGCCTGGATTGTGAAGAGTATGGTGCCGGTGAAAGACGGGCTGTCTTGGAGGATGGATTGTGGGCATGG